GATTGAAGAGTAGAAAGGCAGCAGTCTAATAGCATGGCCATGGCAACGAAGTGATAATTTTGGGGCAGTTGTTAAGAATTCAAAGATTCAGTTGTTAAGTGCATGACATAGTGTTGTTTTACTCAAAAACATGAGGGGGACTCGAGTAAAACCACAGGTAACACAATATCCAATGGCATTGAGCAATGATGTAATACTTAAGAAGTAGCCATATGGGCCTGAGAGAAAAAGACATTACCAAAAGCTTTATTCCTTTGTCTAAATTAAAAGTGGTCCACCACTCATAACCTTCCCAGAGAATAGAGGAGCATCAATTCCGCTTCTAAGAGGATAGTTTAAGTAAAATGGACATATTTTTGAATGCAAAATATTTTCTGCTGTGAAATATTACCATGGCTCATTGAGATGGGGCAGCAGTGCTGAATTTGTGAGATATAGATTTTGAGACATAATAAGCTAGATTAGGTAAAAGACCCTGAAGTCTTGTCACACTTATATCAGTTATTTTATCTTGGCAAAGAAGATAACAGATTGAGCAATCTAAAGACCTGAAGCGTAAAATGCTTCTTATTTTGATTACGTCTGAGTTAAAGATTGTAAATGAGTGGCTTGTCTCGACTAGAAAAATCAGTCATGTTCTCCTCTGTTTAAGAAGAAGGAATATTCACAATCAAAATACAAAATATCCCACAAATAATTCTACAAGAAATACTATGTTATCAACATCCTGTACAGACATCAGCACAGGCAGAATTATCAAAAACAAAATCTTTCTGAATTCCTTAAAAATATTTATTTTGTTTGAACTGACACCTTCGGTTCAGCTTTAGCAACAATATCTGCATGAGGTAAATGGCCAGGCCTTGCAGCTTTTTGGTTTTGATTTGGCAAATAAAGACTTCACATTGTCGTTGAGACAACTTGTTATAATGAAATACACTGTGATTCTATGCCAATGTGCTTGTAGTGAGTTTGGATGAATTTTCTGAACAAAAAACAGGAAAATACAATTCAAGAAATAGGATACAGTATTACCTGTTCAGCATGGAAAAATCAGAATGAATATTGTTCAACCTCACATGGAACTTGGCATTGATATTTGAAGTGTCCAATATCACAGTATTTACTATGTGAAGTAGAGCTACCAAAATATACAATTATCTTATTGAATAGAATGGTTGCTTGCTTCAGCTGCAGTGCTACTAACTGCGCTGCACAATACACAAATAGTGTGTGATACATTGCTGCTTCTCTAATGAGTGATTCAAATAAACATCGTTAATCCACATAACAGCACTTCCCACTAGTTAAAGCAGGGAATGTTTTGTAATAAGCATGGCAGTTGGGTTAAAAGCTGACAATTTACTGATGTGACAAATTTATCAAGGATGTGGATGAGCAGCAACACACACCCTTTGGAACAAAGCAACAATTTCAGTTTCTGACAACTTGTTTATGTACTTTTAATCAGATAACCATGTGAGGGAATTGAACATTTGCACAGTGCATGCTTTCCTGCACTAAACCAACTTCAATGCAGATAGATTTGAAAATGCTCCCTTTATATCTTAGCTGGAGAATAATAAAGTTGGAGAACAGAAAAGTTGCAGGATCAATCCCTAAACTCTTCAACATCAGTTTGAACAGCAATTTTCTATATATACGCCCACCCGGTAACAGTGATTGATCCCCTGACTGTCCCCTTCGTAAGTTACATTCCCCACTGACATGCAGTTTCAGAGATAATTGTGATCAAGGTGATGGAGGGACTATCCTCCATGAATCACTGCCACAGCAGCAGTAATTACACTCAACTTGAAAAAGGTTTGGCTGAGAAAGTACACCCATTGTAAACTGGATTTATTTGGCCTCAATTCTCTCAACAGGATCTTTGATAGTCAAGAACAGTCCAACAGAGTTGAATTCAGTCTTAAACCATTATGTGAAATGCTAGCTTTGGAATATGCTGCACTGGAACACCCCAATCAATCGAATATTTTTTATCATAAAGAGTTTTTAAATAGGTTTTGTACATACCGGTTACTTTGTGTAGATGCAAGCTAAGCATGTTCCTCACTGTTGCATATAGGTCCAGAGGTAATATACAAGGTACATGCAGTTTCATCAATGCTGAATGCCTCTTTTAAAATGGGAAACACAGCTTAGTAGGGGTATTCCCAATCAGCCAAAAGGCCAGAGGAAAATGGTGCAAGTTGGGAAATTCAGAGGAAAGTCCAATTCCTCCAAAGAAATGTAAGAGCAGCTATTTATCACTAAAGCATGTCTTCACACCCAAGTAAAAATTTGGCCAAAGATCAATCATGAATCAGCGCAACCAAGAAATTTTCTGAGACTTAATTTTTAGAAACAAAAGTCTGGTTTTAAAAACATTCCAGGGTTTATTCAAGAATGATAACTTGGTAAAGTTTGATTGTGATTGATATTGCTGCAAAGGGATTAAACATAATGTTTAATTATGTGTCATTCCACAAACCACGAATATTGCAACTTACAATTGTCTAAAGTGACTTTTTAAAATGTACAGAAACATATATGTGCTAAATTGAGGCAGTCAAGGAGGTTTTTTGACAGACTGGGTAGTGTCCCTGTCTCTGAGCCAGAAGCTCTGGGTTAGAGTCTCACTCGAGGACCTGATATCCAAGAAGGGTTCAATGTGTAAACCCTTCAAAACCATGCCAAACCATGCCAATGGCAGGCAGTAAGATTGGGAGAGATTCCTGGTCAGTCATGTGATGGAAAGAACATTGCAGCCACTGCCATCAATATCTATAGCTCCAGTCTTCAGCGTCCATATACAAAGTGTCCAAGCAAAACAGACTCCTTGGTGGGAGTCTGCAAATCCACGTGTGAGCTGTGCACCAGATACTGAGCTGTAGTAGACTGTGTGACAAAAGGGAGCAGTGTACTTCTAACCTGACTGTATAACTCATTCACAGCATAGAGTGACTGCAGTTTCCCCTGAAGAGTATGTATCTTCCATGCAGATAACAGAGGGGCCTGCTATCCAGAGGGGTTTAGCACTGGTGTTGGCACCTCTTACAACCATTTTCAAACCATGCACGTTTTGGACTCCACCATTTCCTCCAGCTTACACGGTTTGTAGGAAAGCATAAGTATACTTAGAGTATTGTGTATAATTTTTATCTATTTACCTAAGGAAGGATCTACTTGTCACAGAGGGATTGCAGTAAAAATTCAATGGACTAATCCCAGATTAAAAATAAACATGTTCAACCATATATCATTCCACAACTAGGAGTACTGCAACTTACAATTGCCTAAACTGACTTTTAAAAATGTAGAAAAACACGGATATGCTAAATCGAGGCAGTCAAGAAGATTTTGTGACACACTGGGTAGTGCAGTGGATTGTCAAACAAGGAGAGATTGAAGACAATTTGGCCTAGATTCTCTGCAGGTTAGAAGAATAAGAAAGGGTCCCCTGGAAGGATCCAAAATTCTTACAGGGTTTGACAGAGTAGGTGCAGGAAACATACTTCCACCAGCTTAAAATTCTAGAATCAAGGGACGTATTCTTGGAATAAGAAGTCAGCCATTTAGGATCCAGAGGAAACATAACTTTTTTTCACTCAGAGAGTGGTAAATTTTTGGAATTCACTACTGAGGAGGGCCACAGTGCTGAGTCACATCAAGACAGAGATGTGTGCATGTCTAGATACTGAAGATGTCAAGAGATTATGGGGATGGTGCGGGAAAATGGCGTTGAGGTGGGTAATGAGCCATGGTCTAGTTGAACGGTGGAGCTAGTCATGAGGGGATGAATGGCCTATTCCTGGTCCTATTGCCTATATTCTTTTCAAATTCAAGATGTTGTCGTACTCCTACATTCTGCGCTTTTGCAGAGCATGAAAAGTGAACTTGGTAAGAGCTTGTGCTCCGATCATGTGCTCATATGATCCGATGTTCCTACTTCAAAGACATGAAGTGGATAAAAGCAGATTGGATTGTTATTGTTAATTCTGGAGATGATTCAAGCAAAATAAATTCCTGATTATGTCGTCCATCATTTCACACAAAACCCCTGACCATGGGATATGTTCGAACTAACTTACTGGTACCGAGAGGATTAAACTATTGCCATGCAGAGTGGCAATCAGGAACATAACTGGAGAGGGATGGTGAGAGTACTGATGAGTTAGGTGTTATAAATCCTGTTTAGTCTATACTATATTTTCTGACTCTAATTTTAACAGTAAATTTGTTTAGATGTTTTTGCTTTATAAATTATAGAGGTACGTGTAATACTTTCCAACAATCCAAAGGGAATGTGTGAGCATAGCACATGACCATACCTCATCCACTGAGAAAGAACTGAAATGTCTGCTACTCTGCAAATCCATTTGTTCCTTGGAGAGAAAAAGCACTGATTTTAGATTAGCAAAAATGTAGCCCACTTATAGAAATCACTGGACCATTGAACGAGAACACGAGCCCTGATCCATAACATTACCTTTCACACTCAGTCACTCACTACTAAGAAGCTCCATCAGAGAGAGAAAAGCCATATAAAAGACTAAAAGGGCATTAGCCCCACTATCACAAATGTTTTGAACAGCTACTAAAGGCAAGCTGTCCAAAAGTTGATTAAAATCAGCCAGGTTAAAGGTTCATCTTGTTTATTTTTTTAAAAATTAAATAAAAAACTATAATCTACTGCGTTGTACAAGGCTTTTTCCAAGAAAAAACATACAGAAACCAGATACCTGTCTCATTTGTCTAAGCATCTTTCATTAAGGCTCCTCCAGTAACTGGCACAAGTACCTGTATGTTCCATTAGATCAGCCAGAACCTATGTGCAAAAATAGCCCGTTAATGAGGGGAAGTGGCAGCTGCAATCACTTTAGCCAATCTCGTGTTGTATATGATGACACCTCTAAAGTCTGCATGATGCAGAAAGAGTTTCCCACCTCAAGTTACCAGAAATAAAGTACCTGATGTTGAACAAAAAGCTTGACGGTATTTCACAGAATGCAAATACTGTACTCAGTGTGCACAAATCTTTTACTCTGAATTCATCCTCGCCCACTGATGGATTTGAAGGTATAGTTTATAGAGAAGGTAAGAAAGTTAAAAATGTTTGTGATCATATATTTCACCCATGTAATCAAGAAGAAATTGGCACCGTGCAGCAATAACATATTAGTTAATAAGAGGCAAAAAGCAGGCACATTTCCATGAAATTTAGAAAGGCTGAATGTTATTTTAAATAATATTTACACAAGCATGTTTTCTAACACAAATGTTCCTTTAGCTTGTAATCCTTTAGGCTTTTCTGACAAGACATTTCTAATAGTCGTAAATTTAATGGGTAAATCTGTCAGTGTAGTAAAATTAGTAAAGAAATCCCAAACAAGAGATAAAACCACAGGCTAAAAACCTTGTAGGCGTTGCTGAAGCACACTTACAAGCAATAAATCCGAGCTGAACTTCCTGAACTTCTGATAACAGTGCACCGAAAGCACATGTTCTTTCCATTACAGAGAACTAGATACAAGGAAAATGTCACAGTAAAGAACAACACAAAGGTTGGAACCTGTAGAAAATGAAAGAAGAATCACATAGGGAACACCAAACATGGATTATTAAGGTATGTAAATTGTGTGCAGAAAACAGAGACAGACTTCTTAGATAATGGGTTTGACATCTCATTTTAAATTCATTTAAGAAAATGTTCTGAAATGTTGTTCATTCGCATTCTCACTTGGCATATGTATCTGTGAGGAAAGGCTTCCACATATATTCTAATGTTCACAGAATGTTCTTACTAGCCACAGCCCATCCACTCCCTCCAATGCCATTCAATTTTCTTGCTTCAGAAGATCAAGCACATAGAATCCCTACAGTGTGGAAACAGGCCCTTCGGCCCAACAAGTCCACATCGACCCTCAGAGCATCCCACCCAGACCCATCCCCTATAACCCACCTACACATCCCTGAACGCTACGGGCAATTTAGCATGGCCAATCCACCTAACCTGCACGTCTTTGGACTCTGGGAGGAAACCGGAGCACCCAGAGAAAGCCCACACAGACACAGGGAGAATATGCAAACTCCACACAGACAGTCGCCCGAGGGTGGAATCGAACCCAGGTGCCTGGCACTGTGAGGCAGCAGTGCTAACCACTGAGCCACCGTACTGCCTCACTGAGATCCTGTCTGTTGTAGCATGCAGCCTAGGCCAACTACTTACTGATTTCCCTGCTAACCCCTTCTCTGTGATAATATATCAAGTCTCTATTGGGTGATCCTTCCAATAGCATGGATGACCTTAGAAGCCTGTGTCAGGGATGTCCTTGACAATAACATGCTACACGTTTTTGCTTTGAGGTCTAGCTATCCTTCCTTAGTTACACAGAAGCAAATGAAACACAGAGAGAAAGCCTTCACATGCTTAGGAACAATGTCTGCCAAAGACATAGCAAAGAAGAAGAGAATATATTTTACATGGCAACCTACTGAAAGTTCAAAATACCGTGTTAGTCAACAGCATTCCTTTAATTATGATTTATTTCCTTACGTTGTTTCTCCCACAAATGTATTCCTTATTTGCTTCTATTTTACTTGATGAGTTAGTCTTAAAGGTTAGTCACTGTTTCGTGATTGTGTACCATCTGATATCTTGTTGTGAGGTCCACTTTCTGTATCCCAATGCAGGAAATCATTGCTGTTGATATTTCTCAAGAAGGGTCACTGGAATCAAAATGTTAACTCTGCTTTCGCTTCACGGATGCTGCCAGACATGCTTAGTTTCCCCAGCAATTTCTGTTTTTGTTTTGGATTTCCAACATTCACAGTTCTTTATAAATAAGAGCCAACACAGTGTGGAGCTGGAGGAACACAGCAGGCCAGGCAGCATCAGAGGAGCAGGAAAGTTGACGTTTCAGGTCGGGACCCTTCTTCAGAAATGGGGGAAGGGGAAGAGAGCTCAGAAATAAATAGAGAGAGGAGGGGTGGGGCTGGGGAAGGTAGGTGGGATGGTGATAGGTGAGTGCGGGTAGGCAGTGATGGGGATTAGTCAGTGAGGTGGGAGGAGCGGATAGGTGGGAGAGAAGATGGACAGATTGTGTCAGGTCAAGGAGGCAGAGATGAGAAGGCGGGTTGGTCATGGGATGAGGCTGGGAGAGGCGAGATTTTGAAACTGGTAAAATCAACATTTAGGCCATCGGGCTGTAGGGTCCCGAGGTGGAATATGAGGTGCTGCCCCTCCAGTGTGACACTGGAGGAGGCCCAGGATGGACATGTCACCCAGGGAGTGGGAGGGGGAGTTGAAATAGTTCGGGACTGGGAGGTGTTGTTGTTTGTCATGAACAGAGTGCAGGTGCTTTACAAAATGGTTTCCAAGCCTCTGCTTGGTCTCACCAATGTACAGGAGGCCACATTGGGAGCAGCGGATGCAGTAGACCACATTAGTGGATGTGCAGGTGAACCTCTGTCTGATGTGGAAGGTTTATTTTTGGTACCTTGAATGGTGGTGAGGGGGGAGGTGTAGGGTGTAGGTGTAGCACTTTCTGTGGTTGCAGGGAAAGGTGCTGGGGGTGGTGGGGTTAGTGGGGAGTGTGGAGTGGACAAGGGAGTCACGGAGAGAGTGGTCCCTCCGGAAGGCAGATAGTTACACAGAAGCAAATGAAACGCAGAGAGAAAGCCTTAACATGCTTAGAAACAATGTCTGCCAAAGATATAGCAAAGAAGAGGGGTTAGTTAGGGAAATATTTCTTTGGTTGTGGGGTCGGATTGTAGGCGGAAGTGGTGGAGAATGATATGTTGGATACGGAGGTTGTTGGGGTGATATGCGAGGACCAGGGGGATTCTATCTTTAATTTTGTTCGGGGGAAGGGGTTTGAGGGCAGAGGTGCGGGAAACGCAAGAAATGCTGTTGAGAGCATTTTCGATCACTGGAGCGGGGAAGTTGCAGACCTTGAAATAAGAGGCCATCTGGGATGTGCGGGAGTGAAATGCCCCACCTTGGGAGCAGACGCAGCGGAGGTGGAGGAATTGGGAGTAGGGGATCGCATTCTTGCAGGAAGGTGGGTGAGAGGAGGTGTAGTCTAGGTAGCTGTGGGAGTCAGTGGGCTTGAAATAGATGTTAGTTTTGAGGCAGTCACCAGAGATGGAGACAGAGAGGTCCAGGAAGGAGAGAGAGGTATCAGATATGGTCCAGGTGAATTTGAGGTTGGGGTGCAAGGTGTTGGTAAAATTGATCAACTGTTCAAGCTCCTTGTGGGAGCATGAGGCAGCGTTGATACAGCCATTGATGTAGCAGAGGAAGAGGTGGGAGATAGTACCAGTGTAGCAGTGGAAGAGGGACTGGTCCACGTATTCTATGAAGAGGCAGGCATAGCTTGGGCCCATACGGGTTTCCAAGGCCACCCACTTTAGTCTGTAGGAAGTGAGAGGAGTTAAAGGAGAAGTTGTTAAGGGTAAGGACGAGTTCCATTAAGTGGATGAGGGTGTTGTTGCAGGGGGACTGGTTGCGCCTGCGGGAGAGGAAGAAGTGGAGGGCTTTTAGGCCATTCGCGTGGGGGATACAAGTGTACAGGGCTTGGATGTCCATAGTGAAGATGAGTTGTTGGGCGCCAGGGAATTGGAAGTCTTGGAGGAGGTGGAGGATGTGGGTGGTGTCCCGGACGTGGATGGGGGGATGGTTCCTGGACCGGGGGGAGAAAACAGAGTCAAGGTAAGCAGAGATAAGTTCAATAGGACAGGAGCAGGCACAGACAATGGGTCAGCTAGGACAGTCAGGTTTGTGGATTTTGGGAAGGAGATATAAATGGGTGGTGCGGGGTTGGGGAACGATAAGGTTGGAGGCTGTGGCTGGGAGCTCACCTGAGGTGATGAGGTTGTGAATGGTTTGAGAGATGATGTTTAGGTGTCACGGCATGATCCTCCTACCGCCAAAAAAAAAGGACTACATCCACAGTTCTTTGTTTTGGTTTAGTGCTGTTGACATGTCAGTTGTCTTATGCAATCAGTTTTAGGCGCAATAAGTGCACCAATTAAAACAGAAATTCATGCAGTACACTTTCCACACTCTCCTCCATTCTCATTCTCAGGAAAAGAACACAGAAAATCAGAAGGACCGAGAATGGGGTTGAGAAACCAATCGACCATGATTGAATAGTGGAGAAGACTCGTTGGGCTAAATAGCCTAAATTTGCTCCTATACCCTATGGTCTTATGTTAAAGATGCAGCATCAAACAGGAGATGTACCCTGTAGTGACTGGTGTAATATCGGTATCTGCTTTTATAAAGGTATGTGTAGACAGCTCACTGATACCAAAATGCAAAAGCAATTGTACACCTGAACTTAAATACTTGTGCTGAATTCTGCTCACCAATGTCGAGCCGTACAATGAAATCTCAACTGTTAGTATGGACATGTCAGAACAATCAGCTCCTTTTTTTGATATCAGAATTCTTAAGAAGGTCTGGCAGACCACCCAGATTCTCATCACTCTTAAATATTAAAGTTTAAATGGTGGTTTTGAATTTTTTGCAACACAAAGTCAGAGAAAGACTCCTGAAGATAGTCTCACACCTAATGCTAGATGGTGAACTGACACTTCTGATTCTTGCACATTTGGAAACTTTGCTACACGTACTGTATAATTATTATCAAACAAACATATTGTAACATACAATACATTTTAAAATAACATTAGTTCACATCAATTTCAACAAGTTTAAAGAAATTGCACATTTACAGTCCTATATAGTTACCTCCCCACTTAGCTTGACTTTCTCATGACATCATCCATAGAAAAGCAGCAACCTGGTCCAATACTATGACATGCTGTTAGCTGCATGAAATACATCCTTATACTGCTGTAGTCAAGAATTATACTTGAACATTATTTTATGGCAGTCCCGAGTGTCAAATTAATGAAAATTGCAGTCATTCACCTACAGAAAGATGATTCAAATGCTCTCAGGATTTCTGGCAATGCTTTGGATTTTTTCTCATTCCCCCACTAAGGTACATGTTGAAGTAAAGCTCCCAGGAATGCCTCTAAATTACCCAAGTAGCCACTATTTAGTTGCCATGATGGTCAATGCTGATTACATCACATGATACATCTCAGTTTGGGGGTGGGGGGAGGGGGTTGGGGGTGTTGGTTAGCTCAGTTGGCTTTGCAGCTAGATTGTGAAGCAAAGTGACACCTAAAGCATGGGTTCAATCCCCAAACCAGTCACCTTCTCAACCTCATCCCTCACCTGATGCACAGTGGTACTCAGGTTAACCAACCAGCAGTTGTCTCTCTCTATCTCTAATGAGAGAATAGCCCTACGGTTCTTTGGGACTGTGGTGACTTTAAATAACAATCACAGTTGTGCCTGTTGTATTTACATCTCACAGCTAGAATACAATTTTCCTTTAAGAGAAACATTTACTGTATCATCACCATATCACTGTATGTGATCTGATGGAGTAATATCTCCATCTTACTGGGGCCACTGGCAGCATGGCATACTGAGGGAAATGTGCAAAAGCTTATAATTAAATTCATATTAGCCGAGACGTGGCTGTACCTGTGATTTTATATATTGAGAAGCCAGAAGCTGTAATTTTATTGAATCTTTCATTAACAGGTTACTGACGTCCAGTTCTTATGTTACAGCAGCAAGCATAAGTATCATCTCCTTCGGTTCCCTGCTGAAGGTACAAAGCTCACCACCACATCTACAGCAGATTGTGATAGCAGATCAGATTAAGACCCAACGGCGGGTTCACCCAATACCCATGGAAACAATTGTTGCTGTAAGAGTCAGAGCTCACCACTGAGTGGCAGATACCCTCATCGGTTTGGCCTGTACCAGCTTCTGGGCACTGAAGCCAATAATATAACTATCAGCTCATTCCACAAAAAGCAAGGATTGATAATTGGTCTTTCCTTTGCTGGTTGGCTCTATCCACTCGAGAGAGAGCGACAGACCGTGTCAAGTTACGCTAACATTGACAGATCGAACTGAGGCATGTGTCTCTTGTGCCACATCAGCTTTCACGTACTGTGAACATGATCCCAAACAAATCCGTCTGACTCGGTTTCTGGTGAATCAGTGAGCAATCATGTAGCTCTCACTGCCAGCTGCTAAATGCACTGGACAAAAAATGCTCATCTGTCAAAAGATTTTGCAACATCAATGAGCTAAGAGGTCTTGGAAACATTTCATGCAGTTTTATCAAATGAATTGAAAAGTTACAGAAAACCCATGGATTATTTTGCTTATACTTATAAGTAATCCCACACATGCATGAAACTTGCACTTCAGAATTAGAGCAACAAAACCCAGCTGGAGCATTTTAACTAACCACACATAACATCACAACACAACCTCCTACACTCACATAATGGACAAAAGCAACAAATTATCTTGGATCCTTTTCTTTCTAAATTCCCAACAGTTTTCTGGGTTTCAGTCGCTTTCAATAAACCTGTTACTTGAGTGGCATATTCTCTTAATGTTCCTTTGAAGAGATTGGCTCAGAAATTGTTGGAGCATGATCCATTTGTTAGATGTTTCCCCTTTATCCTTCAGCTCACAAATCTTTTTGCACTGACATTTCTGGAAATGCAAGCTGAAAACAATGCAGCAAGGGCAGAAGGGAATCTGGGACCTTGGTAATAAGTGTAACTAATAGACTATTGCTTTAACCAATGAGAATAAAAGACAGAAACAAAAACAGGAAGAATGGAGTGAATTGGAATCAGTACAGACACAGAAAACCAAATTTAAAAAGGGAAAGAAAGATTGAGAAAAATAGAATAATTAAAGATGTTAAAACCCTGTGAGAACAGTTTACTAACTGTGGGAATGGTTCTTTGTAAATTCAACAGTTCATTTTCTGAGCCAAAAAGGTTGAGAGGTATTACAGGACCATAAATCCTGTAATTATGTAAGGTTCTTAGATCATGAAGTAGCAATGTCAGAAGCAAAGAAGTTAACAACATTATAGATTCCTTGTACAAAAACGAATCTGACTTTAACTGGATATAAGAAGCTAAAAAAACCATGGCTATTACCAGTCACTCGACTATACAGCTGCAAGTTTTAAATGGGCCACAGAGAGACATGACCAGACATGCAAAGACTTTTGAAGCATCAGGAGTTTGTAAATGGAAGCAATGGAAGTGTATGAATTCCACCTTCACAGAGAACCAGCCTTCCAGAGGACGAACTTCAGAGGGACTCAGCAGAATGGACTTTTGCCTTGCGGATCCTTTGATTCCTCAAAGTTAACAATACCACCATGTTCAAGCTTTGAACTGTGTTAAAAAAGGGCTAAGAATATCAAATGTGCAAAGCTCCAACAAGAAGGCTTGTAGAACCACTTTCACAAGGAGAGTTTGACTGAGAGAAACCAAAGAGGAAAGGTGGATAGAAATGAAATGCTGTTCTGTTGAAGGAAAGTCAAGCTGTAAGAAAATGTGTGGAAACCACAGAACTAGTAAAGACCAAGCAACATTCAATTCCTCCTAAAACCTCATTTCCTGCTGGTCTGTTCAAGACAACACCAACTATTACACTACACAGGACATCATAGGTACTGGATCAGAATTGAAACGTTAATTACTCAAGGCAACAGATCCCAACTATGCACCAACGAGGCGTCTTGGGACTATCTTCTTAAAAGTGTTCTTTTGTTTTATCTGTACTTGTTTTAATCTTGATATCTGTAATTTCTTAGTGAAACTATATCTCTTTATCCCCAAAGAACCTTCAGCAACAATTCATAATAAACTCACTTTTAACCTGTTTAAACAAAAGCCTGGCTGCTGGTCTGGTTTCATTACAAATTAAGAAGTGGAAATTAATCTCTGTTCAACTAACAATGTAGTGGACATGCCTGATGGTATTAACAACCAGCCACAACAATTCATGACAAAATTAACTGGCTTCAAAATGAAGCAGTTTATTGAAAATCTTGAATCTGAAGCTGAATTTCCAATTTTAGGAGACTAATACCACATTGCTACAATTATCCCAATAATTCTGATGGCTTCTCCGATCATGGTGCTTCTCTTGCTTGCAATAAGTTGCTGGCTCATATACACACTAATAAACAGATCTGCTGTGAACTTGCTATTATCTTGTTCCCAGTCATTTCAAGGCACATTGTTTCATTCTTGATATGTCAGAAACTAAAAGTAGATGTTGTCCACAGTTATAATTAGCAAGTAAACTCAAACTAAATGCTATATGAATCAGAATACACAGCTCCCTTTCATCTTACACTCCTTGCATGGGGAGAGGAGGAATACCTATACTTGTTGATCCTTAAACCAGGCTTCAATGGATATCACATACTTATAATCCTAACGTTTCTGCAGTATAGAGATGCATGTCCGATATAAGATGTTATTGAAACAAAGCCCTTAAGGCTTGTAAGGGAATTCTGAACAGTTGATGAAAAAGTTGTTGCAGTCAGCACTTGAAATGGGTTCCATCAAGTTCCAGAACCCGGAGATGACTAGAAGACATTTCTAAGCCCTTTTATTGCATTAAAGTTGATGCTGTACATAAGTGAACCTATTAGCAATCCAGCCAGGCAGCAGGTAAAATTTTCTGAAGAAGGGCCTAGGCCCGAAATGTCAGCCTTCCTGCTCCTCTGATGCTGCTTGGCCTGCTGTGTTCATCCAGCTCTACACCTTGTTATCTAGGTAAAATACGGAGCTGGATTTTGTTTCTTGACAGGGAGAAGGAGGCAGAATGGAAACAGAGTGGTCCACTTAATCTTGTCCCGACCACCTCAGCATGTTCAATCAAGAATCTGATGACCATCTGGTGGGAAGGAGCCAAAAAGAAGATCAGAGCATCACTGTCCTAATTGGCATTGAAGGCCAGTACATCATGCAGCTATGAGGCAATGCTGCAGAGGAGCATGGTCACTGTTAGTTTGCTAAAGGTCTCCTGATCTTAGAATGTTTTTATGTTCCATTGAAGACTCAAAAATATTTTTTAAAGATCACTTCATAAAACAATCCAATGCTGCCACCTTCGCTGTCAGATTCTGCTGGGACATTCAACCACAGTCTCAACAGCCAGCTTTTTTTGCCCATGAAAGCTTGTTGATGACTTAGGAGGTTAACAATTGATAAAATTTTAATCTTAAATAATTAAATTAAATGTAAATAATCATTAATTATTAATCCCCGAATGGTTGGCGGATTGCTGATTTTGTTTCCCACTTGCCTGCAGTAATTTGGAAGGCAGGCGTGATGCTGCCATATCACCAACACATCAACCTGACCTACTTTCCACGGCCAAGGGGAGCAGTGTGCCCGATTTCCCAACATTAAATTGGGCCATGAGATCAGCTTGCACATAGCATATCTAACAGCTTTTAGTGTAATGAGAATATTGACAACTACCATCTAGATTTTACAAATGCACCTGGTAGGAAGCATGCTCTGCCAAATAGCACACTGAGGAATCGCAAGCTTACTGTTCATCATTTTCCACTCATCAATGTAGATATTCTCATGGGTAACCTACCAGTACTGTGCAGTGATTACTGGGATTCTTTTCACTCCAACTATTTTTTTTCCCTGTAAGGATTGACCATACTGCAGGCGCAATATTGACAGTCATATACAATGTATGGCAAATCTGTACATCCTCAAATCAAACAAAAAGTAAACCTTTGCAAAACTTGACATATTCTCATACGATAGAGACAAGTTAAGGGCTGTCAAAAGTACACTTCATCTCCTGCTTCTCTTCAGTCTAACATAATACACATGACTACAAGTATTCAAAATAGTTCCCAGGACTAGACATTTTTCCCCAGACTGCAATGTTGATAATAAGACTTCAATTTTCTGTAACACATGGATCAAACTTTCCAACATCAGTTAAGTCTTTCTGATATAGAAAGTTTACAGTGTTGAACCATATAGAGTGTTTTATTTTATGGTTTCAAAGGTTGTAATGATGGCTACCATTTTAGGATTCCACGTCATGCAAGTGTTATTTTCGAACATTTGATTTTGAACATGCCACAATTCACAGACTGACATGAAGCATAAATACTGAGGCTGTTTATGATCAACTTTTAAAAATCCATAATGAAGACATTAGAAATAAGTTATCCATGATTTGAAGTAAGAAATTGAAATTGAATTGGAAAGTCAAAATTGCCATTTGTGGATGAAATGCTTGGTTGCTTAGTGTTGACATATATTGAACAGGGAGAAGACACTGAGGTCACAAAGTGTGGAGCTGGAGGAACACAGCAGGCCAGGCAGCATCAGAAGAACAATAAAACTGATGTTTCGGGTCAGGATCTTTCTTCTGAACTCCAGCTCCAAACTTTACAATCTCTGACTCCAGCATCTGCAGTTCTTGCTATCTCAGACACTGAGGTGAGCCTAGATTTTCCATTGTGCCAACAATCCTACTGAAAATCTGGTTCCTGATGGTGACTAAGGTAAATTTACCTGGGCCAGTCAATATAAGTACTGATGGGTAGGCCCTAATGATAATTCTGCCATGGGGAGCCTGTCTTTGACCGAGGTTAGCGATTAGTATTGAGAAGAGAGAGGGATGGAGGCAACATTACTGTTACTGCTGTCTTTCAGAATCTCCAATGCCACTGAAAAAGGCAAAAATAATATTTAAAATAGTCAGTTTGGAGCACTGGCTGAGTTCAATTAACTGTCCTGCAAGTGGATTGTGTTCAGCGTGGGTCCTAATTAAAATGTAATCCCAAACTGTCTCTTCCCAAATACTCAGTCAGCACCCAACAGCATTCCTAAAGCCTAGAATTGTGGAGAAATATAATGAAAGGAAACCTGTCTGAAGAAATATTTCCTTAAATTTACATCAATCGGAATATAGCCACCTTAATATAAGGGGACTAATCGAATTTTTGTTGTTAATTGGGCGTGCGGAAAAAGAGAAATGTCTTAAATAGTGGCGAGACAATAAATGACCCTGAGGATGGATAAACACTCCCAGTCATTCCAATAATGGGCTCTACAAGGAAAGGGCTTTAGGTGGAAGAGAAATAACACAGATGTGTGCAGAACCATTTTCTCAATTGTTTAATCTTTTAGTGCTTTCATTACTGTCACATTTTCTGATACGTAGAAGCTGTGAGAAAATCCACTCGACAACAAGCCAGGGCTGAGTTGCTCTCCAGCTTTGAACAGTTGAAAGCTTGCAGGGGCATCAGCACATGCAGTGACTGATCCCCAATTTGTCAAGTACTTAATTACCTTCGTTTCTGACGTATCATATCCCTGGTGCTTGGTTGAGAGCTCTTTCTACTCCTCTCACCTGCTGAAACTAATTCAGCTTTACCTTGTAAAAGCTCATGATGAGTGTGGCAAGTGAAGAATGAATTTTGAAAAGATTTTGAAAAACTTCTTCAAGCATGATTTCTGGATATTTGGTGCCAATTATCTTTATTCACTGCAAGTGCTTCCAAAAGACAGAAGACATGAATCATAAAAGTTAAAAAACAGACAGGTTAACATTTAAACCCAGTTTACCTCTGTTCTCACTAACACTTCAAAAGTTTGAGTTATTCCAGACTTGGATATCACTTCATAGAATCAATGTATCATACAGTACAGTAGGATCTGCAGCTTATGCTGAAGTTTCTCCTGAAATCTTTATTGGATTGATTGGGGACTATCTTGCATTTATGATAATCAACCTGGAAAATTAGGCTGAATCTTAACTTGCAGTAACAATTTTGGAAGGAAACTAAAACAGGGATAAAAGCAAAATCTTGCAGATGCTGGACATCTGAAGCAAACATAGAGAATACCGGAGAAACTCAGCAGATCTGACAACATCTGTGCAGTGAGAAACTGAGTTAACGTTTCAAGTCCAATATGACTCTTCTTCAGAACTAGAGTTCAGTTTGTCTCCAGTTCTGAAGAAGAATTAACTTGGGAAAATGACAGCATGTTCATGGTTCTAACCTGTTGCTTTCCGCATTGAACTGGAGTGTCTTCAACATTGGCAGACCTGGCAATTTTAACACAGTAGTTGCTAATTTACAGAATACTAAAATGGATCTTTCCACCAAACTGTGGGTCAGCAGGCTTTGTGCAACTTCACAGAGAACACAAAGTGAGAGCACAGCAATAATAATGGGGCTTGAAGACCCAACAGAAAAGTAAGCATTGGAGAGTTCCAGCTTCGTTCGTACCTACTTGAGTGAAAAATTTTGATCACAGTATTTATGCTGAGCAATTACTTTTGTAGCATTGGAGGTTTAAATGTCTGATCTCCACTTTGGAGTTTTGATCACACAGGACAATATGCATGTTACTGATGCTGGTAACCTGGACTTCAGAAATTGACCATCATAATCAATGCTTCAGCACCAGCAGAAGCAGCAGAGAGTAGTTGATACTAGTAGAGGCATAACCAGAGCCACCAGCTTCAGGAGTAGTGCACATAGGAGCTCCTTCCAGACCTACTTCCCTATGGATGGGAGAGATGCAGTTTGCCACAGGACAGGGGGCCTGCAGAAAAGGATAAGCACCCTCATCTTGTCAGATTACTAAATACACAGAGTTAAGCAGTGGCAGACATTTGCAGCCTGTTGAAACAAGAGGAAGCAGATCTGTTCACCATATTGTGCCGGAGACTAGCAGAGTTACTATTGTAGATAACAAGGTGTAGAGCTGGATGAACACAGCAGGCCAAGCAGCATCAGAGGAGCAGGAAGGCTGACGTTTTGGGCCGAGACCCTTCTTCAGAAAAT